TCTCTCTCTCTCTCTCTCTCTCTCTCTCTCTCTCTCTCTCTCTCTCTCTCTCTCTCTCTCTCTCTCTCTCTCTTACACACACACATACACACACACAGACACACATGAATGACAAACCTGAGTCTTGGCGTATAACAAGGATCTCGCAGCCACCCTCAGCAACGACTTGTACGTGGACTCTAACACATCTCCGTGGTATTACAAGGCTCAGGTCCGTAGAATCAAAGCACGGATGTCGACACCATGTGCTAACCGACGGCTTTTCTCTGCTGCCCCCTCCCTTCCTCAACGAACAAAGAAGCCGGCAGAAGTGCCAGTCAAAGAAGCCAGCAGAAGTACCACTCAAAGAAGCCAGCAGAAGTCATACTCCAACTCCCAGGCCTCCATCCATCATCCCTCTCTGTGACTGCCCATTATGTCACACTAACTGGTGCAGCTGATCACCGGCGTCAACCGGCACACGATTTGCCCGTCCTCCCAAGTTTCTCTTGGAAGGAGGGGTGGAAAGGAACCCTTATTCAGGTAGGTACACACATCTTTGAGCTTCCTTGTTGTGGGACAAATTTGCCATTCATGAAAACAATGACCAGAAGTTAAGAGCTCCAACCCCTTAGTCGCAAGCCTGGTTAAGCACGACTACCAACCCAGTGACCGATTGAAAGCAGAGTAATTAATGCACGCTCGCGTCTGCTCAAAGTTCCAGCAGCTGCCATAGCCACCCACCCAGTGGCACATGCGAAGGACTGTGCAGCTCAGATAAGGCGGGCAGATGAAATGGCAACTAGGCGGTACCTCAACCGAATGGCCGACAACAATTGCAGCCACTTGACATGCTGCAAACCGATGACGATAACAAGATTGGAAAAGTGACTGCGCAAGAGGACGACGGCCCGTAAAGAAAAACTGAAAGCAACCAAGCCGCATGGATGGAAAACTAGTTGTGCCTTCTGTGCTGAATGAGCCCCGATGGTATCCGATGGCCAGCAGCACCGCAGAAAACAGCAGATCCTCCCTTCGCCCTCGGGGCATACTCACACTAGGACCTTTTGTACTTGTTTCTGGGCGTAATTGCCGACAGATGCATACAGGTCCGGCCATAAAAGTGGTCGCGTGCATTTAAGATATAAGAGATAATGTGGGTACGCCCTCAATCCCAACGTCTCTCTCGTAATACCTCCAATAAGTGCATAACATGACAACAGAACCCAAAAAGAAGAAGGAAAGAATAACTACGAAATTGTTCTTATTCCTCTCCCAACGTTAAGCCGACAATTGAAGTAAAAAGCAGTAGCACAATTGTGATAATACCCGCTCCCGGCACTCCCTAAAGCTATCTACATCAACAACTCTCTCTGTCCTTCTGCGGAAAGAAAAAGGCCTTCGCATCACATCGTTAACATGACACACACGAACGTCCCTGCTGTAACAAAAACCCAAGGCCTCACTCACTGGCGCAAACACGTAAAGAGCTGCATGCACTCACTCCGTATGCAGTAAGCAAATAGTAAATGCACATTTCCATTTGTGATCAATCGAATAGATGTGCTTCAAACAAGCATTTTGGACCAGATGGGGGCCAGGGGGAGGGGGGTGCTCTCTATCAGCGAGTATTACATCACGCCCTCCAAATTAGGAAACTATCTTAACTGCACAAGAGCCAATCAACACATCTAGCTCTTTATCCGACCCCCTGTTTAATAGAATCCTTCCCAACTGAAAGGATATGTACCTGTCCCACTCACTACGCTCCTCTTCACCCTTCCACAACTCTGTCATGCACGATGTCATCGACAGACACTCCCTTCTCTCTCTCTCTCTCTCTCTCTCTCTCTCTCTCCCTCCCTGCCTGGCCTTTTTCCTTTTGAAGCTCTCTGTCATTCACAATGTCCCTCGCCTGCTCTCTCTCTCTCTCTCTCTCTCTCTCTCTCT